GGATGTAGTCCAAAGCATTGGGAACAAGGGACTCTAATTCTGGGAATCGCTTGGAGTATTTGTCTCGGATAAACTTGTGTATAATATCTAGATACAAAAGACAGCAAGCATTAAGGTGATTGGTAGGGTTGAACAAGTTTTCTCAACCTAATAATTTGTAGATGGATTAAATTTCAAACTTTGTAAATCCAAGGCAGGATGGGAATAATGTTAAATTCTGATTCAATGCACCTGGCACTTGCCAGGTGGGAAGGTGTGATGGAACGTGTTCCAGATTCCCAGGAGGGAAGGAGTGCATTCCAGAGGAGCAAGAGACTTTGTAGTTTAGAAAATTTATGTGAAAGAAAGAGGGCGAAGATGGCTCCTCCTTAATAGTTCTCAGGGTGTACATTTTTATGGTGCAAATAGTCATTTTTAGTTTGGCAAGATTTCAGTCAATAGGTGACTAAACAATAGAGATAATCCGCAACTTACAACCATTTATTTAGTGATCAAAAAAGGTAACTTAGACTTTTTCATATTTTTGCAACCATTGCAGCATTCCTATGATCACATGATCAAAATTCAAATGCTTAGCAACTGGCATGTATTTAGAATGGCTGCAGTGTCCCGTGATCAACTTTTGTGACCTTCTGACAAGCAAAGTAAATGGGGAAGCCAGATTCACTTAACCTCCATGTTAACTGACATAACAACTATGGTGATTCACTTAAGAAATGTGGCAGGAAAGGTTGTAAAATGAGAAAAAAACTTAAGAACTGTGTTGCTTCGCAATGGAAATTTTGGGATGAATTGTGGTTGTAAGTTGAGGACTACCTGTAAAGGAAACTGCTAAAAGAGTCTCAATGAGTCTTTCTTGGTTTTAGAGCCTGATAGGAGTATGAAAGCAAGCCTCCAAAAATGTTCTGCCTCAGTTTTTTTTAGTCTGCTGAATCAAAAGATCTCTCTAGAAATAGTCCAGACTTGATTTTTTGTTGCTGAAAGAGGAATGTCTATGGAGATTCTCAGTCATCTAGGTCATGATTGTCTGAAAGGTGCTTTTTCAAGAGGCAACTGGATTTTCTGTTTTTTCTTTGAAGATGTTTTACTTCTCATCCAAGAAACTTCTTCAGCTCTGGCTGGATGGTGAGGCTGAATTCTTCAGTCAGAGCTGAAGAAACTTCTTGGATAAGAAGCAAAACGTCTTCAAAGAAAAACAGTTGCCTCTTGAAAAAGCACTTTTGGGACTGGAAGAGGAACGTTTCCTGAACAGCTTTTTTTTTTTTTTTTTTTTTTTTTTTCATTTTAATCTAAAAAGGGAACAGCTTTTTTTTTTTTTTTTTTTTTTGAGCCCATTGCACCTCAAACTTCTACACTGTTAGTTCACATTTCTTTCTCAGAAACCCATAGTATTGATACCAGTACAAATGTATCCCTATGCAACACCTAATATAGTGTTTCCAGTATGTTCCTAGCTCTGTCCCAAACCAGCAGTCAAGATTTTTCACTCACTCAGTTCATTTTCAATCTCTACAGTGAGGTTGTTGGCATCCACAATGACTCTGTATTCAGGAGCAGCCTCTACTGGACCTAAAACTGGAGAGAGACAAATAGAATGGTTAAAATCTATGCTATGCAGCTGACTGTGGGGTGGGTTCATAGACATTTCCAAGCTTTTGACTGAAGGGAAATGACTTGTCTTAATGCAGAAGCAGGATGTGACCTTAGTAGGTTCAAAAAGAATTAATGAAAATGTTATCAGTACTGCTGTTTCTTCATAAACAAATCTGAACTGAACAGTACCTTCAGATGCTTTTGGTTGCTTGCTGATGTACTCCTCAATCTTCAACATAATTTCAGCAAACTGCACAAAAGAAATAAAAAAATCTAAAGTCATGCTTCCATCTTGAACTTTAGAGTGTAAAACAATTATGGCAGATTACACAACATATCATGTTCAGACCAAAATCAATTTTGAAATTTTACTCCATTCTGTAAATTATTACTGGATTACTGTATTCAACCTAAAGCTATTTAAGGGACATTTTGTATTTTCCTAATTTCTAAGGTATACTTTATTTCTGACTTCATCTGATCGAATTGGCATGATCCACAGAGATGACTTCACAAACATATTAAACTGATGAAAGATCTATGTGAAAGATCTCTATTTCTTTTACCATTTTGCTATCCCAGAGCTTGGCAATACTCTTGACCGAATCAGTTGCCAAATCCAGTTGCATCTCTTCATGGACATCTTCAATGGGAAACTCGTCCTCTTCATCTGCAAAACTTCCATCTTCTTCCTCCGCTGCTTCTTCAAGGTCAGCCAAAAGCTCATCTGCTAAAGACATGGTGGATCAAGGCTAGGAAAAAAATAAAACTGGATTAAAGAAGTAAGTCAAAGCGGGTTAATAAAAAAAGAACTCTAAAGTGGTTAAATGAAGATTCAGCCTTCTATTAATATTATCTCTCAATACTGTCTTGGAAAGAGTCCCAATTCTATATATCTGCCACCAACCACCCTTCAGAAGGTAGGATTTCAGTTTCTAGATGTCACTATGGGAATATAATCCTTGGTAAAATACTATGTAATAAAAGTATAAAAGTAATCCTCAACATAAAACCACAACTGAGCCCAAAATTTACGTTGTTAAATGAGAAATTTGTTAAGCGAGACTTGCCCATTTTATGACTTTTCTTGCCACATTTGTTAAGTGAATCACTACAATTGTTAAATTAGCAACACGGTTGTTAAATGAATCTGGCTTCCCCAATTACTTTGCATGTCAGGAGGTCACAAAAGGATAAGTCAGTTGTCAAGCATCCGAATGTAAATCACATGAGCATGGCATGCTGCAACGGTCATAAGTATAAAAATGGACAATAAGTCACTTTTTTCAGTGCTGTTGTAACTTTCAATGGCCACTAAGCAAACTGTTGTAAGTTGAGGGCTATCTGCACTAAAGTCTTGAAAGGACATAATAGTAGTAGAATAGGTAGAATTACTGGGACATAGTAATAACTTGCTATTTCGCTTCTGTAAGAATTGCTTTGCTCCTGTAAGAATTAAAATTGCCTCTGCCATTTGCTTCTATCAGTGATCTAATTCCTTTTATCTTGTTTTTGTGTACAATTCAGTGCCTGGTGCGGGGTATGTCATGGGCTGGTAGGGTTACATAGGGCAAATACCTGTGAGGCTAAACACCAGCCCCTCTGTTGCTAATCACTCAGCCCCCCTGTTCCTTGCTGCACCGCCAATGCAGGGCTACAAGGAAAGCCTAAACGAATCACAAATTGGGGGCACGTAAGGATGTATAATTATATAAAGATAATGATGAGAATAGCTGGGAATTGTAACCAGGTCTACATCTCGACCAAAATTAGGCTCTGGGTGGTGGTGGTTTAAAAGCACAATGACTATATATGTATACTTTTTTGTTCTATTTTTTTTTAAAAGGAGAATATGTTAAAATTAAATATGTATATTGAAAAGGAATTATAAATACCATCAACATAAAATGGAGCTCGCTCAGAAGCTGAAATACACTAAGTAAATGAGATGAAGAGTGGGAAGAAAAGGAGAGAGGTAAGGGAAGAAGAGAGGAATAGGAGAGAGGGCAAGGAGGAGAAGAGGAAGGAGGAGTGGAAAGGGGAGAGAGAAAAAAGAGAGAGGAAGGGGAAGTAGAAAAGGACGAGAGGGAAGAAAGGAGGTAGGGAGGAGGAGGAGAGAGGAAGAAGAAAGTGGCGGATAAGGTACAAATATGGTGTATGGAGAGCAGAAGACCCAATAATTGTTTTTTGGGAGTTTATTTATTATTTTATTTATTATCAAAATTTATATGCCGCCCAATCCCGAAGGACTCCGGGAGTTGATGGTAATATGAATTGATGTAAAGATTTAATAATACAATATGATGCTAGCTATGTAATAATATACATGTGATTATATGTTATGAAAATGAAAAAATAAAAAACTTTACAAAAAAAAGGAAGGCCTAAACGGGGGGGGGGGGGGCAAAATTGCGTAGTAAGCTGATGTCTCTGGAGGAATAAAAGGACGCCATACCTTCCCCAAGGTGTGGCATTTCATTGCATGGACCTTGTCCGTATGTTTATGGAATGGTCTAACTACCTTTCTTTTTCTACAAATAAAAACTGCTATTTTTTTTTGCAAGCCTTTATGGGTCTCTCTCTTTGGCATTGTGGTGACTCAAGTACATTTTGGAACCTTACAGTATGACCGAGAGGTCAGGCAGTGCAGCTGCGAAAATCCTGGGGAAGAGCCAGTTAGGTTCGCCAAGCCTCAGCAGCTCCTCCTGGCTACCCCAGAGGGTTGTTAGGAGGACTAGGGGAAGAATTGGAGCTTTAATTCAGTCTGTGGATTAACAAGGCAAAAGTTAGAATAGCCACCGTTCCTTTTCAGGATTCCCCTCCCCTCCCCCTCACCGGCGTCTTCTTCGCTTCAACGCTGCTCCGGCTTCTTCTCGGTCCCTCGTTAAAGTCGTCACGCGACAAACCTCGTCGCTTCTACGTTGATCATGGACGCCGCCAGAAACCGAAGAAAGTAGTAGCCCAAGAGATATTACTTCCGATTCCGGTTCGGCCGCCATTTGCGTGGCATAACGCCGATGAGCAAAGGGCTTGTCTTGCCCGCTTAACTCTATGGACGACTGGGAAATAATAGTAGTAAGAGGCAGGAAACGTTCCGCTTCGAGGCCACAGCTTTTCTCCCATTTCTATTCAGACGATGGGTCAACTCTGCAATGCCTACTCTATGATTACGGAGTTCCGGAACCTATGGTGACATCATCATCATCATCCCTTTTTGCGCGGCCGTCCATCGAACGTATTTATGGGAGGAACAGGATTCGTTTTACGTAAATGCGATGCGACAGACTTTTCTGTTTCTGGTCCGATCATGTGATGCTCAAGATCATCAGAGTGCGCCACCTCCTTTCCTCCAATTAAACTCCGGGCATGAAACTTCTTTGTTGCTACAGGAGTTTTGTTACGTCATCAACCAGCGTCGGGTCGTCGGTGTATTTTTCGTGGCCTCATTGGAAAAGGTGGGAGCGGCATAGAGACGGAGGTAGGTTGGATGTCGGAAAAAGTCCATTTTTAGAAGTTAGCTTTTTGCAGCCTGACACCGTTCTCTGGGGTTGGGCTCCTGCAATTCCCCGTCCGGAGTTGTAAAGCCGTCCCTTGGAGACCCTCTTTGTAGAAGCGTTAACGAATGGCCCCTTTCTTCACTTGAATTAAACCCTGCTGGTCAGTTCACTAGAATAATTTCTACTTATTTTGTGTGATGCTAGAATTCAAACCAAGCATAATTCAACTTGGTACTCTGAATGGGTTGAGATTGCATTTTCCGTTTTCCTAGCAAGTAATGACGATTGCTTGGAAATTTCCAAATAGATTCAATTTCAAATTTAGACGCCGTGGCTCAATGGCTAAGACGCTGAGCTTGTCGATCAGAAAGGTCGGCGGTTCGAATCCCTAGCATCACCTAATGGAGTGAGCTCCCGTTTCTTGTCCCAGCTTCTGCAAACCTAGCAATTCCAAAGCATGTAAAAATGCATGTAGAAAAATAGGAATCACCTTTGGTGGGAAGGTAACAGGGTTCCATGTGACTTCGGAATATTTAGCCATGCCAATCACAAAATCACGGAGACGTCTTTAGACAGCCATGGCTCTTCAGTTTGAAACAGAGATGGGTACCTCCCCCTAGAGTCGGGAACGACTAGCACATATATGCAAGGGGAATCTTTACCTTTACCTACTAATGGTGATTGCCTGGGAATTTTCAAATACACTAAACTCGAACAGTTTGCAAGTTGTTTATGTGGGAAGCCCCTTCCCCAGAAGAATGAAATATTTTTGGAAATATTAAAAAAGGCAGAATATTATATTTCCCTAAAGAGATAAAAATGTTTTAGAGACAGAAAGCAGCCCCCAGTCTTTCTTAATAGCCCACAGCACTTAAGAGATAAAGAGATTACTGAAAGAGGAAGCCAACTACCTAGATGGCCCCATTCATAAGCCTAGCAAATACTGCAGGCAGAAATCCATTCAAGAAAAGATATTTCAAAATGGCTTGCAGCAAAGCTTGACTGCTAACAAAAGCAGAATAATAGGATTAGAACAAGCAGCCCCTCACCCAAGATCTAGCACAGGATGAAAGCCAATTAGCTACAATAGGAATTTCCCAACACCCTTTCAGAACACAAGCCCTTCATGGCAGTTCAAACTTCAAAGTCTCAGAAACCTATAAAGATCCATCCACTCATTCAACCATTTGATCAGCTGTCCCAGCGTGGCACGACAAAACCGCGGTCCACTAAAGCGCGCCTGATTAAACCGCGTCGCTGACGTCATCAGCAGCGCGACAACAGTGACCGCGGAGAAAAAAGGGCGCTTTAAAAAGCGCTTTGAAAGCAAGCCAATTCAAGTTAAGGTAAGGGTTAGGGTTAGGTTAAGGGTTAGGTTTAGGGTTAGGTTAAGGGTTAGGGTTAGGTTAAGGGTTAGGTTTAGCGTTAGGTTAAGGGTTAGGTTTAGGGTTAGGTTTAGCGTTAGGTTTAGCGTTAGGTTTAGCGTTAGGTTAAGGGTTAGGTTTAGGGTTAGGTTTAGAGGGTTTAGGTTTAGGGGTTAATTTTAGCGTTAGCGCTCACAGCGTGCTTTTTTCGTCGTGCTGTGATGACGTCAGGTATGCGGTTTCGTCGAGCGTGCTTTAGTCGAACGCGGTTTTGTGGTGGAACCCTGTCCCAGAACCATAAACCCTGGTGGTTCTGTTCACCAATAAACATAATCTTTCTTTCAATCAGCCAGCCTCCATATTATTTCCAGTGTCTTGGAACCAAACTAGATTTTCCTTCCAATATTTCTTTGTTATATTGTCTGTTCTTAATATTTGTTTTCAACTTACAGGTAGTTTTTGACTTGGGACCAGAATCTTTGTTGTTAAGTGAGTGGCATCTGATTTTGCCCCCCCCCCTTTTTTTTGGCCTTCATTGTTAAGCAAATTACTGTAGTTCAGTGAATCACAAGGTCATTAAGCAAATCCAGATTTCCCATTGATTTTGCTTGTCAGAACCTGGCCAGGAAGGTTACAGATGATAAACACATGACTCAGATTGCTACAACCATGGGAAATATATACCAGTTGCCAAGCAACCATATTTTGATCATGTGATTGTGGGGATGCTGTGACAGTTGTAAATGCAAGGCCTGGTTGTTAATTTTTTCAATGCTATTGTAACTTCAAATTGTTAAACGAATGGTTGTAAGTCAAGAACTACCTATAGTAACCAAAGGAAAACCAGACAAACTTATATGATGAAAAAAAACAGGTCACATTTAATTGAGTAGGACTTATTTTCACAAAATATCTACAGAATTATTATATACTCTAAATAATTTGGTAAATTTCCTATAAATCACCTGTATCCTTCTGTTTTAAATTTTGGATGAAAAGGGTATTTACCTCTTAACTTCATAGATCCTTCCTTCCTTTCCTCCCTCCCCCTTTTATTTTTCTTTTCTTCTATTTCCCCTCCCCCCACAACAACTCTGTATGGTAGGTTAGATTAGGCTGACAGACAGTAACTAGTTCAGATATTTGGAAAGATGTAATGCTTTTCAAGTGAATCAATGAATTATTTTACTGTGATCAAGTTGATATAGCTGGTTAGTTTATATTTATTGCTTCCTTTTTAAATTTTTTGAACAGTCATGGCTGCTGTGAGTTTTGAAGAATTTTCAGTGCCTCCTGGTTCAGAACTGGCATTGCCTCCTCTTTTTGGTGGAAATATCTTAGAAAGTGAGTTAGAAACTGAGGTGGAATTTGCTGATGGAGGGATACCAGAAGATGAGGAAGAGGAGGATATGTTGCGGCAGCAGGAGATGACTCGGCGCAAGTGTCAAGTGCTTGCCCGACGATGCAAGGAGTTAGAACAGGTACATGACTGGAGTGAATATGCTTTCTCTGTTTATTAACAATGTTTCTAACAATAATCTTGTGAAATAAGGTAAGATTTGAGAGAGAGGATTCAAGAGATCTCTTACTACATAATGCTGGATGAGGGATGAAGGCTTGAACCTAGGACTTTTTGGCCTCAGTCCAGCATGCTATTTATGATAGTGTAATATGTGTTCAGGAAAAAGGACTATGTGGATACCATATAGAACAACAGTGAAAAATTTAAGCGACACGACTGTTAAGTAAAGACTTAGGTGGAAGAGGAAGGAGTTGTTGAGTAAGTGAAAAAAGATGACCAGCTAATATTGATCCCCATTATAGGTGAATGAGAGAATGTTAAACCGGCTCCATCAAGTCCAGAGAATAACACTGCGTCTCAAACAGGAAAGGAGGTGAGTCAGAAGATACAGTAGGTGCAAAGTGTGTTAAATATATTCCCCTTTGTGCAGTACTACAATTTTAAAAATTAGTTGCATTTTGATATTTAGTTTAGGATGTGGAACCTGTGTTTTTCCAGATTTTGCTGAGCTGCCCTTCCCAGGATTGCCAACAATAACCTATACTGGGTGGGTCTTCTGGGAGTTGTACGTCATCAAGGTTTAAGGATAACACTGCTTCTGAACTTTGGCACATTTATACCAAAGAAATGAATTTTTAACTTCTTTCATCTAAACTATCTGTTTATATCCCATTTTTCATTTTGTGAGGCAGGATTCTGGTTAGAAAGGAACACGGTAATACAAAGGGTTGGTTTAAAATAATGTCTTTCTACTTCTCCTGAGGTTTCTCATGAGAGTTTTGGATTCCTATGGTGACGATTACAGACAAGGCCACCTTGATATTGTCTTAGAGGTAAGAAATAATTTTTGGGTCAGTAGCCATGTTAATGCTTGTTTTGTCTCCAGGAAGGAATATTATCATACATGCTAATAACGTTTCTCCGAAAATAAGACAGTCTTATTTTCTTTTTACTCACAAAATATGCCTTGGGTGTTATTATGAGGGGAGGGTTTATTGTTTTGGGGTTGCTAGGCGGCTGCTCTCTTGCGAGTGGGCTCCCAAAGAGCCAGGCACAGCCTCATGGGCGAATGGCTATGTTGCGCTGTTGCAGCAGCGCAACACAACAGCCATGAAGTGGCCACGCTCACGAGCAGCCACCTGGCAAACCCTCTTTCCAGCCTGGCGCAGCGCCATTCACTGACCTAGGAGTATTGCCAAGCCGTGTGAGCGCCTGTTTGTTGCTGCCCGGCTCCTGCGGCTTGGCGCCTTTGAAATGCCAGTGAATGGCATTCTGCACGGCTGGAGAGGGGGGTTGCGCGAGTGGCTGTTCCGCTCTCGCTTGCGTGCCTCCCAGTCTCACGATGCCCTGGCCCAGCTCTCCCTGCAGAGCCAGTGCACCTCCACTGCCACCGCCATCCCAGGATGGTTTTTTGTGGCGGCTTCCAACCCGAGTCTTCCAGCAGTGGCCGCTCTGGGCATACTCTCTATGGTTGTATGCTCTGCCGGAATTGGCCCAAAACCATAGAAGCTACGCCCAGAGCGGCCACTAATGGAAGACTCGATTTGGAAGCTGCCGAAAAAACCATGCTGGGATGGCGACGGTGGTAGCGGAGGTGCCCTGGCTCTGCAGGGAGAGCTATGCCTGGACATCGTGAGGCTGGGAGGCGCGCGAGTGGGAACGGAACAGCCGCTCGTGCAACCCCCCACTCCAGCTTTTCAGAGCGCCATCACTGGCATTTCAAAGGCACCAAGCCGCGGGAGCTGGGCAGCAGCGAACAGGCGCTCATGCGGCTTGGCGATACTCCTAGGTCAGTGAATGGCCCTGTGCCCGACTGGAAAGGGGGTTTGCCGGGTGGCTGCTTGTGAGCATGGTCGCTTCATGGTTGTTGTGTTGCACTGCTGCAACAGCGCAATATAGCCATTCGCCCATGAGACTGTTCCCGCCTCTTTGGGAGCCCACTCGCAAGAGAGCAGCCACCCAGCAACCCCCCTCTTCAGCTGGGCACAGCGCTGCTCACTAACCTAGCAGTATCCCAAAGGCACCAAGCAACACGATCACTTTTGCCTCCCCCGGTTCCCATGGCTTGGCACCTTCGGGACACCACTAGGTTGGTGAGCAGCACTACCTGGCCAGAGGTGGGGGGTTGTCCAGGGGGCTTATTTGCGGGGGAGGGCTTATATTTTTGCCCACCAGAAAAATGTGGCATGGCATTATTATTAGGACATGTTGTATTTTTGGGGAAACACGGTAGTATATTTCATTGCGATCTGGAGGGACCCTGTCCTCTCAGCCTTCTGGAAGGTTGTAAAGTCCTAGTTCTTTCCACTAGCATTGGGCTGAGGGAGTGAGCTCAGCAAATGTGGAGCTGATACGGGGATGATATAAGCTGTACTGGGAAGTGTGATGCTTTCCCTTCTATAGTGTTTTATCTCTGTTTTTAGTAGTTGTTTGTTGTGAGCAACTGGCCATTGTTGTATACAATCTGGAGGGTCATACCGTGTTTACCCAAAAATAAGACAGGGTCTTATTTTCCTTTGACTCCTGAAATAAGCACTTAGCCTTATTTTCGGGGAAGTCTTATTATTTTTGAGGTGCAGGAGGTGGTGAGTATGGTCACCTCATGGCTGCTGCTGTGTTGCAATATTTTGGGGAGAAGGCTTATTTTCAGGGGAGGGCTTATTTTAGTGCATGCACTCAAAAGCCCAATTGGGCTTATTATCCAGGGAGGTCTTATTCTCAGGGAAACGGTATTATATTTCTTAAATAAATATTAATAAACTTGATTTAATTTAATCAGAATAAATGATTAATTTTGGCTATAGGAATAACTGGATCATTTAAAGACACAGCACCTACATCCATGCAATATGCTAAACCGTAAACTAGAGTAACAAAACACTCCACAGCATGTAGAGTCCACATACTGTGTCCACACAAATAAACTACCTTAAGCATTAATGGCTGATTCACAAACAGATGTGTGTGGTTTAGGGAGGGGGCAGTGATAAAATGTGTTTAACTAGTTTATAGGGTATACAAGACACAGCTAAAACTGAGTAATACAATTATGTAAAATAATAAAGCCCATAATTTAATTTTCCAAGTGAAAATGGAAATGAAATAATATATTTAATTCTTAATTGTTTAATATGGTGCCATTGGTTATAATTAATTCCCAGAGTCATGTTTTCATCTGCTTCTGGAAGGCCTGAAGGTGGAGACAATTCTTGCTCCAGGAGGGAAGCTGTTCCAAAGGAGGGCTAGCTGCTACAGAGAATGCCCACCGTGGATCTCCTCTTGCTGCGTCTCCTGAGATTCTTAAAAATGTTCCCTGTTATTTGAGGGGAACAGGCAAAACCTATCAGGGAAGAACAGGGAACAGAAACAGATTTGGAGGTGGTTGTTTCCCCTCTTTGCTTTTCATGGGAATCAGATTTGATTCCTGGTTGTAGTTTACATTCCCTTTTAATTGTCATCCTCCATCCATCCACCCTCCTATCTTTCTGCAAGAGCCTAAAGGCCAGGCTCTCTGCTGGTTGGCTGGGATCCAAATGGAGAAATTCCACAGTGGAGGTGGCTGCTGGATTGATGGCAGACTTCACCTCTGTCCCTTCTTCTCTGCTCTCTACACACCCATCTTTCTTTTTTCTTTTTTGGTAATCGTGTTGTTGTATTCTCATTGTGTTCTTTTTCACTGTTTTTTTAATTCTGTTATCGTACTTATTTATTTATTTATGAATAGAACTTGTATGCCGCCCACTCCCAAGGGACTCTGGGCGGCTCACAACAAATAAAAATAAAAGCATTTAAAAATATTTAAAAATACAGAATTAAAAACAATACAACATCCATTCCATCAAGTGGGGCTGGAAATAATCAACAGCCCCAGGCCTGCTGGAACAGCCAAGTCTTGGTCGCTTTACGGAAGGCCGGGAGAGTGGTGAGGGTCCGGATCTCGGCAGGTAGTTCGTTCCACAAAGCCGGTGCAGCTACAGAGAAGGCCCTCCCATGGGGAGCCGCCAGCCGGCATTGTCCGGTCGACGGAACCCGAAGGAGGTCCAACCTGTGCAATCTTATAGGTCGTTGGGAGGTAATTGGCAGGAGGCAGTCTCTCAGGTAGCCAGGTCCAATACCATGTAGGGCT